TAAATACATTTTTGTTTACAATCAACTGTTTTAAAACCCATATCTTGAAAAAATAATAATAATTTACAAGGTTTTAGCAGACAGTCAAGAAAGACCAATCTCTTTCTCCGACACCCATTATGACAGGCGTGAAAGGACGGGTAAAGGTAGCACACTGGAAGAATAGCTCTGATTACTGTGTGTGCTTTTGTGTGCACCTTGACACAAAAAAAACATGTTCAGAGATGTGTCAAATTTAAAACACAGTAAGAAAAAGGAAAAAAATAAATAAATAAAACACTGATAAGGCAGGTGTGATATTGAGCAATTAGTGCTGAGGTCAGTTTCCAAAGTAACAGAGCATGAGTTGAGAGGGTGAATGCAGATGTGTGGCACAAAAGTTGCAAAATTGTGAAAGTACTTTTGATACTTATGTGTGAATGTTGAAATAGAGTTTATTATTATTATTTTATTATTAGCCTTTATTTAACCAGGCAAATCCCATTGAGGTCACAGATTTCTTTTGCAAAGGAGGCCTGGAGGTACGTGTTTTTGGTCGGTGGGGGAAACTCAGAGAAAGCCCACACAAGCACGAGGAGAACATGCAAACACTACACAGAAAGACCCCAGGTCCGGACAGAACAGGGGATCAAATCCAGAACCTTCTTCCTGTGAAGCATCAGTGCTAACTCACCAAACTTCACCCAAAATTGTCCCCCGGCGAAAATAGCCGGATTCCATTGGAATTTTAAAGGGGCGTGGCCAAACAACTCAACAGCGCCACCTAACGTGAGATAGAGGAACTGGTAAGTCCTAGAGAGCTGAAATTCGGGGCATACACTGAACGCCCCGAATCAAGAAAAAAACTAAGCCATCGTTGAAACCAGTATTTTTGCTTCATTTTCTAATAAAAGAAGAAAGCCTACACAATACTGTAAAATCTACCTTGTCCTTCTTCCTTTTTTCTACTCCGCCTCCATCTTTGCTTTTCTCCTACACTCACTCTCAATTTATATGCAGTTTTGCCTCCTCTGCTCTCTCTCAAGGGAGCTGTGTATTTAAGTGCAATTGCAAACGACTATCAAACCCTGAGGAGGGAAACTTGATTCAGAGACTCCTTGCCTGGTAGGACAACCGTCTGAAAGTACAGCTTTCTCACAGATTTTCTCCACAACGTAAAGCAGTGTTTGGTCACTGCTTTTCCCCTGGGGCCAATCCAAAGGAATGATGAATCTTTAAAGGTTCAGGTGGTAATGCAGCTAGATAAAACCAGGACTGTAAAGAACAATCCGAATTGCTGGTGGTTTTGTTGTAGTCAATGCCTTCAGAAAGGCAGACTGACATGTGGCCCCTTCAAAATAAAGGCTCATTTGACCAAGTTTAAGAAGTGAATTAAATGTAAATGTACTTTGAAGCATTTGTTGTGACTATACCTAAGAAAAAACTTACATACACATAGTACAAGCCTAAACGAGCCATTAAAAATATTCAGGTGAGCAATTGCCAGCTAATTTTGTTTCCTTGGACACAGTAGAGGCTGAGTCARGACACAGTGACATGGAAAAATGTTCACCTTTGTTTGCAATTTATATTTTCTTGACTGCAACCTAGAATCAAATTCATACTTTTTGCAGGGATATTTGAATCATTTGACACAACATATCTTCCTAAATGAAAGTATTTTTCAAACTACAGGGCAAACCAAACATTAAATGAAAAAAAAAAAAAAGATTAAAAGCTGAATGTTGATCATCTGTACAACTTTTGAAAGTCCTCATCTTGCAGCAATTACAGATAAAAGTCTGCAACGATTTTTGTCTGTAAGCTTAGCCACTGGGAGTTTTGCTTTTTCCTCAAGGCAGAACTGTTCCAGTTTCTTCAGCTGGAAAGTTTCTGCTGTTGAACCACCATTTTTAAATCCTGCTACAGATTCTCAGTCAAACTATCTGAGCTGTGAAGAGTCCGAGACATTAAAATCTTTCATCTAAAACAACTTGACCATTACCCAAAAAGTGGGTGGAGACTGTCATACTTAAAGGTGAGGATATGTGTATTTTGGTTTCTCTGGAAAAGGCTTCGATCAGAGAAATTAAGTTAGTGCTATCAAATGTTTGTTAAATGCTATCTTTTAATTTCAGGATTGGCCATTCACAAAAATTGCCACATGGTATTCCCATCACTGTGCTCTAGTGTGGAAATGGTGGAAGTGTTATATTTGTACTAAACCATATATTTACTTGCTACAAACAGTTTGGATATAAATAAAATTGAAAATGTTTCTTGAAATTGTAGGGTTTTCTTATGCAACAAATCTGAAGAGCAAGGATGGTGAATACTTTCGTGTATACAGTGTATACAATATAATTTCTGAGCTACTATCTGAGAGTGGCATGTTCTCAGTCCTTCTGGAGTCAATATCCTGCAGAGGAGCAGGCAATGAAGGGGTAAAAAAAAAACACATACATATACTGTATATACATAGAGGCTAAATCTCAGCAGTAGCTGGCAACTCCTCGTGTAGTTGTGCTCAAATTGACTCTCTGGGGACGTTTAAGTTTGAGTTAAATCTTCTGATCTTTGGATCACTGCAGCAGCAACTGTCAGTCAGAAAAAAATGATGTAGGCTGTGACAATAAACACGTGCACTGTTACATAAAATGAAACAATGATGAGCATTTCCAAAAACAAGCTGAACTTACAAAAAAKTAAAATTAAAAAAATGAGCAATTGTGTTCTGTCAATCTGTCACAATTATCTTTTAAAATACTAGAAAAAAAATAGAATGTAAATTTCCAATATATAATACAGTATGTGGAAATTGAGTTTTTTAATCTCAGTAAAAATATTGGTACTGCGCTACATTTATATTCAGTTGGTCATCAGCCAAGGCTTTAATGGAGTGTTGTGTTCACCCAAACATAACTGTTATTTTGCACTCAAAGGTTTGTGGAATTTTAAAGAGGGACACATTTATAACAATAAAAACACATTTCTTTATATTTTACATGTTCTTCCATTTTCATTCTGTCATTTCCTCCCATCAACCCTTGTTGAACCCTCCCTTYTTCTTTTTCTTTTTTTAAACCAAGTATTTATACTAAATTCAGCTGGTGTAGATATGACTCTGCACAGATACCTCAGCAGCTGGTATGCCCTCCGGAGGGCGACACTGTAACAGCACCTCCTGCTCCAGCGACACCTCCTTCCCGAGCGGCTCTTGTTCAAATGACTTCTTTAGGTCTGAGGAGAGAGACAAGAATTTTATGAAGAGAACCAAAGAGCAGAATTCAAATATGAAACACTCAAAATGTGAAGAGTAATTTTAAGAGCAGGGTAACTCAGTGCATTGATAGTTCTAGCTCTGCTTCCCATTGCGGTGTCGCTAAATCATAAAACTGATGTTGTTTATGACAACACCACACATAACATGAATGAAGGTGGTTGTAGGTCAACGTAAAACAATAGAAAATACATTTTTTCAAAGATAACAATGACGCAGTAATTATGGTGTTACTGATGTTGTAGGTCAGCCAAGCATACGCCGACTTCTCACACTCTTCAGCTCCCAACAAGGAAAAACACTTAGCTCCCCTGAAAGCCAACTGAAAGCAGTAGTTTGTGCACTCACTCACACACACACACACACACACACACACACACACACACACACACACACACACACACACACACACACACACACAC